TTATTTAAAGCCACCTATACACTAAATTTATATATCTATAATATAAAATGTTTATATCAGTCTAATTTCGAAGAAGCACACCTGTCTGTTCAGAAATTCATATCCAGATAAATATACTGTCAAACCCCAAATAAATTTGTATAGTGGACAGGTTTTGTATCAGTATTAAGAGATTATCGAGTTTGAAAATATCATAAACTATTTGATTTATATAGCAGAAGCAGGATTGGTAAATTATTTTTTTTATTGATTTGATGGGTTATCGATTTTGACAGGATTAGTTTTGGGAGATTCAACAGTAGTTAACTTTTGTGTAAATTACGTTAAACCTACAATAAAATGAAATGTAGTAAATTGGTGGGGGCAAAAATCGTGGTGTACTATAAATCGATACGTATTGAATATCAAACACTAACCTATTGAGGGTGTACAAATATTTATGGGCTTGTTAAATAAACCACCCTTGAAAACAAACATACCATCTATAAAAGGATAATCGATGCTATTAATTATGCGCAATGCATTACCAAATGCAAGCCACATACCAACTCGAAACATTCCTTGTACACAAGGCTTATATAAATCTTCTGTTTTTTTTAATTTTTATATGAAATTTTTCAAAACCACCCATTTCTACATTAGACAAGCAAAAAATTTCGTTTCTATCATTGAAGCGATAGGGCCTCTGACTATGTCCTAGAAAATAATATGACACAAAGATTCATATTAAATGGTTTAGAAACGGCGTACTCCCTCCCTCGAAAGCATGTTATATATTTTTTCCATTTGTTTTTTCTCGCTTATAAAAACCCAATTTTAGAGGGCATGATTGTCAGACTATAATTGTCTACGTAGCGAGGAGAGGAAGACCCGATGAGCTTTCCGCGGTTTAGTCCACTGAGCTACGAGATGAAAAATAGTTTGAATGTATCCACCTCAAAATTTTTATTTCATATCGACACCTGCCTTCTCATGATTTTATTGCTCAATTGTGATCTCAAGAATAGCATTAGGAAAATGCTATACAACTATAAATCGAATAAATAGGTTGTATACACTTACATACATTGTAGCAAGTATATTATTTTATTTTGACAAAATATCTACTGAATTTTTTAATAAGATATTTTTCAGGGTCCTGTAATGATTCTATTATATATCTCCACGGAAGGTAAACAATATTGAGCCCCCATCGTGAAATATAACCTTGTTTGTAACCTGCTGTTCTAATATTTCCTTAACAAGGTCATGTGCTTCTTTATCTAGTCGATGGCTTAACTAATATTTCTTTTTTTTTCTACCCATTCATCAAGACTAAAATAAATATATTCCTTATATGTGGCGAGTTTGGCTATATTATATGTTTTGATATAGTATTGATAAGCATTTGCTTTTTTAAGCATATTAACAAATTCATCGAAACGTAAAGCATGTTCTTCTTGCGTCAAAGGATTTATTTTCATTTGAGGAATTGAAAGTATATCTAAAAATCTCTTTCTATCAGGAGTGCTATCATTCCTCACTGCTTTTCAGACTCGTTTTGCCAACGACCCAGGCCTTTTCTTGTAACTTCTATAAGCCTGTTAGATAACTGTTGCATAGAAATTCTCAAAGCCATAGTTATAATATTTAGGAATTAAGAATTTCCAAGATCGCTTTATTAATCTTTCTGAACTCTTAGGATAGTATATTAAAAATTGTTATAAATTAGAGAATCTAATCCAGAATAGACAAATCGCAATATTTTTGCCTGTCTTGCATAAACCCACAGGTGGTAGATTTTACTAGATGATTTCTGGAATAGAGTAAAAAAAATAAATTAATTTCTGTTATTTTAATAAAGCATTTATAGCCTGGAAAACTCAACACACATATTCACAATTATTGTTTAAATTTAAAAAGTCTATACTAGTTTTCTTTCGCAAGATATCAATATATCCAATTTTGAAATAGTCGATTTTTAGCGAATTACATGGATATGGCTTGCCTGCTATTTTACACATATATCGCGTATATTCTGAACTTATAACAAAGTTTTCATTATCACAATTCCAGTATTTTTTGTCAATATGGTAATATTCTGGATTTGATAACCACTTTAACATATAAGACCAACTACCATAATAAACGATTCTATAGCCTTGCTGATGTAATACTATAAAAGTAACTATGTATACTACATTATCTAATTGTGCTTTTAACTGATCTTTCTTCTTTTCTGCCCACTCGAGTGAAGAATAATTATTATATCGACATTTCTGATGATATGCAGGTACGTCTTTAGCTAGAATTTTTCGATCAACATACTATACATATCGATCATCAGGAATTCTTATATCGCGAGGTGTTATACCTAAAAACTTCTTTTCATCAGGAGTAGTATCATTCCTCACAATATTCCAAACTCGACTTGCCCATGTCTCAGGTCTCAACTTGTAAGTCCTCCAAGCCCATTGAAGAACTGTTACACTGTTAATTATGCGAACTACAATCTTTTTTTTAACTTTGTTTTTATTTGAATGTTTATAATTATAATTATAATAGCTTAAGCCTTTACTGTACATAAAATAATATCTCTCATATATCTTATCAACTATATCAATGCCAAGTGATGATACTTTCCCCTCTTTTTTCACATTCTTTCGTACAGGATTAGAATGCATATTAGTGGTTTTAGTAATATATTTCTTTAGGTGATCATTTGTACATTCGATTGTATTTTCGTGAATAATAACTAAGGAGTCGCATACAGTGCAATAAATGTGGAATGAGCATCTCCTAGCATTAAATTCCCCATCTATATATACTCTTTCGATCATTTGGATAAATCCATTCTTAGAGAAGTATTTTGAATTATATTCGAGAAGTTTTTTAAATGGACAACAAATATGAGAACATCACATTTCTGGTGTTTCATCGCTATAACTATATTGCAGATTGTTTAACGTCTGCACTACTTCAGGATTTAAACTAGAATAGTAGTTATGGTTGGTTTTAACTATTTTTTACTCTTTATAGTTTATAGTGATTTATAGCGTTTTTAGCAATTTATAGTGTTTTTAGCGATTCTTTATCAACCTATATCAAGGAATATCGTGATTCAAATTTGTACATAGCTAAAAACGAAAAAATTGTTAATATACACTTCATAGATTTTTATTTCTTTTTTGTATATATCAGTTTTTCTCACAAGCACGAAAAACAAAATATAGTAATCCAGTTTTTTCTCACAAGCCTTCACTGAAGTGAAGTAACTTTATTTTCTGACTTTGAGCGAAAATTGCGAAAAGTCAGTAGTAAATACTAATATATAAATTATATTTCCCAATTGTGATCTCAAGAATAGCATTAGGAAAATGGTAGACAACTATCGAAACTACATATCAATTTTTCTAGTTGCCGAGGTGGGACACCATGGCACCAGGGCGCAGTAATTGTTAAAATATTCTACAAACATTTTTTAATGGATTTGCTATTCCCAGATATTCACATAATTCAGGGTAATCGAACACGCCTACGACCCTCTCTTGTTTTATATTTTTAACAATAATAAAATCAGTTGTCTGATTTTTTTGATATCTTCAAAAGTATGTTTTACATTACCTGCGCAGTGTAGACACCATGTTTCACAATTTTTAACTCTACGAAGTGGGGCACACCATGTATGATTCTTAGAACAGCGCCATAATAATGGGTTTTATTATCTTTATATTCAGTTGAAAGACATATTCCACTATGAGCTTTGGTAATACTTTTTTTAAAATGTCAAGGGCATATCCCAACCTAGTCTAATCGCTAATGGATCATCTATCGCCTTAGTAAAATCAAAAACTATAAAATTCTGATCCCGCAGATGCTTGTCAATAATTTTGGATGCCTTTTTCAGATTATCTGTATATTGACACACGACTCTATGGATATCATCCCTACTTCTACTCCCTCGGAACATGACTAGGTGTGAGATATTTTCATGAATTATCTTTGGTACGGCCTGATATTTCTGAGTTATATATATTGGCGAGATGTTTTGATGCCGACCACTAATAAAGTAAAGAACAATCTGCTCTTGTATTTTTTTTGATTCAGCACAGAGATCTTCAAAAACAATAACAGTACTTCTTTTAGGGGTGAATTTACTTATATCTGTGATCTTTTTTGCCTTTATTGTTTGAAATGAAATATTCTCCCGATATGGCTCAGGACTATTAGCAAAAATATAGATAGTATTTCTTACCAGCTCTCATTTTGGCTCGGCATGCTTCTCAACTAAAATGAGATCATCATTTTTAATATATCTATTCCCCTTCTTGCTTTTAAACATACGCTGAAGTTTATTACCTAGAATAAGGTTTATAACCATATTAGTTTTTCTACTATGTGAACCCCCAGTGACTACTATACGAAAAGGCCAGTCTGGAGAATATTTATTGCCTTTTAGACGCTCCAAAGATTTTCTAGAGATCTCGTCAACGTTATACACAAAGAATTCCATATAGTACGATATATAAAGCACATCAAAATAAGAAATTTCAGCGAACTTATTTACCCAAAATTATGTGAACTTTCAAGGGTTGGGCTTCGCTTTATCCAAGAACTCTTTTTCAATTAGCATATGTTTAATAAAAGGCAAATGTCACATGTGTATGGCACTTCGATAAGGCATATATCTTGGTCCTTGCATATATCCCGCTTCTTTTGATCACGCATATTTTGTGATTTTAGATTTTCATTCTTCCGGTGATAGAAACTATTATGATGATAGTGTTGAGGACCCTGGAATTCGAATGCAAGATGCAATTCCTCATTATATCTATCCAAGTGTAGCCTATCTAAGAACTTAGCTCTACATGGCGAGAATTTTTTGCTTAACAAATCCTCAAAAATATATCGGCATTGACGTTCGCTGCTTGAATAGTGGCATAGAGGACACCACTCAAATTTTTTCATGATATATTTTAGCGGATACTCCCACTGATATGCATCATTTTCACAGGACCAAAGATAAACATTATGACCATTTATTTGTCTAGTTTTTTCTAGACATTGACCATTTCGCTTACTAGCATAATTTTTTGCTTGATCTAACTCATTATTGGTAGGGGAGGCATATGCAATATGTACAGATAATATACTTTGAGGGGGAAGCTTGGGATCATGAGTCAAATGTATGAGTTCCTCTCTCATGAATCTCCGCTTTGGTGAAAACTCATCACCTTCGAGATAATATAAGACAGGCTTATTTTTTGACACTACGATTTTTTGGATTTTATGAATAGAAGGTGACTATATAGAATTAGTGCTCCTATACACTGCTTCCATCTCACCTTCCCATTCAGCATTGGCAAGAAGATAGTAGACAGAATCACCTTTCTTTAATGTTATTTCATCCTTGTCAATAGGTTGCTTATATTTTGTTGATAGTCTAGATTCTACTCGTTTTAATGCAATGGCTTTTACAGGCTCAAGCCCCCACTTCTCTGATTCTGGTTCTCTAATAAGATGTGTGGGGTAGTTATTCAGATAATTGATAACTTTTAGCAAATATCTAACTCACGCTCTTATTAATCTTGAATCGGAAGATATCGACTCAACAGCATACTGAATCTTATAGAGTATGCCCCCTTCCATCTTATTAAAACGCTCTACCATTGCAAGACCTCTATGACTATAGGGCCCTACTACTCGAATCGTGACATTGTGCTCTTGCATCAATCGGGAAGTCTCGCCCATCCATTCTCGCACATTATCTGTTTGAAATAACTTAGGATAGGTAAGAGGATTATTAGAGTCATTATATACTTTTCTAAATGCTTTAGCAACTTCTGAACTCTTCTTTAAAGTAAGCAGAACTGATGCCTTATATCGGGAGGCACAGTTTATTATATTAAGCACTGCCTTATATATTTTTCCCTTATATTTATTATGTGTGAGAAATAATATATCAGCTTGATGTATATAATTTGGTTGTGTTATTTTCCTATAACTAACTCTAGGAATATGTTTAGGTGGAGGCATATAGATTTGGTATGATTGCTGGCATTCCAAAAAATCTTTACATTCACTTAAACGAAATCAATACCCCTTTTTTTGCATACATCTCTTAAGGATTTAGGGTTAGAATAATATCCAGGTGGACGATAATATATATCATGCAATATAAGATTTTTTTCGATTCTCTGGGCCTCATCAGGATCGATATAGATAACTGGTTTTTCCATTACTTTATTTGACAATAGTAAATAAAAAATATGAGGAATTACAACAGAGTAATTAAGAACTCCATGAGGTAGTATCGCAATTAGCAGAATCAAATAGGAATTTTGAACAACGACTATATATCTTAGAAAGAATTATCGGTATACGGGAAGAGAGAATACGATTTCTTGAAAAAGAGTTAAACAATACCATCGAAGCTTCTACAGAAGAGAAAGAGGAGTTAAAAGAAGAAATCTCAAAACTAAAAAGAATCGTTCATCAACTCGAGGAAGAAAATAAAAAGAAAGACAAAAAAATTTCCAATAAAGATAGATTAATATCAGAATTCGATAAACGTGAAACAAAATTAAAAAATCGAATACGGGAGATATCAAAATCTGCGGGTAACACCTCCAAGGCACAAGATTATACAACAAGATTAGTGAATGAGAATAAACGGCTTAAACGAGAAATAAATACGGTAAGAACTAATCAAATGAATAGGATTAACAAAATAACTTAACAAAAAAGCTATATTACAGACCTGCTTTGTCAAAATTTTGCATTATCCTTATTAAGATATAGAGATAGATTGGAGCTTATAAATACCAGAGAGGCTTTGCAAAATGCAGAAGCACAGAACTTTAACGAAAATGAATCCAACTCTGATGAGTATTCTTTAGATATTTATAATTTTGATCAAAATTTAGATATGGGTACAATAGCCGAATTAGCCAATGCTATAGACCGCTCTCTAGATGATACAACAATATGTTCAACAATTTTAAAAAATCAAATTAAGAGGGCAACAAGATCAATCCGACGAAAATATGCTAACCTGCAACAGGATTTAGTAAACGAACGATGGAATCGTGATATATACAGGCAGGAGTGTGATCAAGCGATGCAGGAGCGTAATCAGTTGCAGACTAATGCTCAAAATCAAGTAAAGCGAATGCTAGATAATATAGAAAGAAAACAAAATCATATTGGTGAATTATTACGAGAAAAATTTGTCTTACAAATCTTATATCAATGAAATGTTCACCACCTACAGCGATGTAGAGGAGATAGAGGTTTGCTAGAATATAATCGGGATAGGCTCTATGAGCGATATGAGAAGTGGAAAAATAAAACTCATGCAGAGCGCCAGAATATTTTAATTTTAAATCAACAAATTTTTGCGCTTCAAAATAATCAACCTATAAATAACAACAGAAGAGGTATGGCAGGATATACACCCCCAGCTTACCACGAATATCCTGATAAAAATCCAGAGAAATTTATTGATTCTTTTTATTCATATTTTGTGGCTGTTGGAATCGATGTAGCTAGTGGGCATGCCAATAGAGTTTGTACACATGGACTTTTTGAAACATACCTTAAAGGCGATACTAAAGATTGGTATAAAAGAACTATTCGAAAAAAAAATTGGGAATTGAGAAATTTACTGGATAATACCGGACAGGGCACTTTAGCTCTGGTTCAAGGACGAACAGCAGCCCAGTTAGGTGCACAGGCCTTAAATTGTGCAAATGGACAAGCTGGTAATGTTGTAATTCCAGCCCATACAGTGTTTGAAAAAGATTGGTCTTATGCTGATAGAAGACCAACAGATCGTTTACCCAATGCACCCAATGCTAATACAGGAGCTACTGTAGTTGTAGTTGGAATTATGCTTGGCCAAGTATTATATTGGTTTAAGACCAATTATTCTACAGTTACTGCAGAGAAACAGTGAGTACTTTTTGGTTCAACTATCCAAGGGAGTGACCCAGTTGGCTGTTTCTATTCAAAATTGCATAGATTGGCCAGACTTGCTAATATTGATGAAGGACAAATTCGATTGCAATTTCTTTGTGGGCTTTCGCCAGCCAATCAAATAGAAGTTCGACGTATAGGAATCGAAAACCCGTAGATGAATTACTCCCAAAACTTGAAGAAATTGAAAGATTTACAGCAGAACAATTATCTGGAGCTTATCTGTATTCAAACTCAGATTCAATCTCTTCAAAAAAAGGATAATTACTCAGGTATGACCGAAACTGAAGTTAGAAACTTGATAAAATTTATGACGACATCTGCACAAACCCAACCTGTTTCTTCACAATCAGTTTCTCAGGAAATACAACCAACACAGCCATCTAAAGCTTATTATGGACCACAACCCCCAGGAACACACCAGACTATACGAGATACAAATATTGGTGGATTTTTACAATGGATCACTGGGGAAGTTCCAGAATTCATTTCTATTCCAAAGCCTGATTTACTCCAAAAACCAGTAATAAAAAAGAGTAAAGTTGACTCTGGTGAAAAATTAGCTAATTATATGAGTGAGTTATCAATAAATGCAGTTGTAAATAAAGCTGTGAAAAAAGCTATGAAGTCACAACGCCGGTCTCGAAAGAAGAAAAAGAGAAGCAAGAAGTCTAAAAAGGGTAAAGTTAATCTCGCTACTGTAGATTCGGATTCTGACTCAAATACTTCATCCAATACTTCTTCTAGTGATAGCTCTGACTCTGATACAAGTTCAAAAGATTTTTCCGATTCTGGAGATGATATTACCATTAACATTGCTAAGTTAAAAAAAAAGTGAAACGAAACTCTAGCTCCAAGAAATCGTTCCTTAAAAAGTTGCCTAAACTTCATTGGAGAAAACTATTTGTAAAATCCTCCAAAATGAACTTAAACTAATTTTTCCTGATCATTTCTTCCAAAACTCTATTAAAGCCAATATACCAAATCAAGCTTCTCTATTCCAGAAAAAAATAAAATCTCAAAGCAATACTTCTCTAATTGCCGAGGTCGTATCGCCAGACCCAAAGGAGGAAGACTATTTGGATGGCCCAATGAAAATTGATTTCATCAAGAAGAAAGAGCCACCCACAAGCATTGCAACCATGAAGTATAAAATCAAGCGCTTAAAGATTCCTGCTATAACCCTCGATTCTGGAGCAGAGCCTTCTATAGTAATCGAAAATATTGTTGATCGTGTAAAGGCTAAAATTGATAAGTCTGAAACACATGATCTTAGTGGTATTGCCACTGTTCCAGTTGAATCTATTGGAGTGGTTCGCGATTTACCTATTACTTTAGCTCCCAGTCTTACCATTCATGAAGATTTTGTTGTCGTGAGATATAACAAGCCAACCCTAATATTTTTTAACCAGCTTTTAAAGAAATATAATTGCGCTGTGGATTGGGGTAAAAATAAATTAAAGTTTTCTCATAATGGAAAGAATTATATCATTCTGGTAACCATGCATAAGGTCAAAAATAAGCTTGAGGTGAACTATGCGAACATTGTGCTACAAGGTAAGGAGTCTACACCCTCAGACTATATTTTGCAGGATTTAGGTGAGGGTGATGGTGCATTAAAAAAAAACATATGAAGAGCTTGAAAAACTGTTATACGATACTCTCAAGTCTAAAGAGGATCTCAATGAATTGTGTGAAAAATTATTAAAACTGTGGTAAACTAAATAGGTCATTAGAAGGCATGTAGTAGAAACATCTTTTATATAGCTAATTTACAACGTATTTCAGCTTTAATTTTTTCATCTCGTCTAGCTTCTTTCTCATAATACATATGCAGATCCTCTTTGCTAATATTCAAATCTTCTGAGCTTTCAGGTGTTAGCTGATTCTGGATGATAGATGATTCAGAAATGCCAGCAGACTTAGACCTGGGTTTTCTTTCTCTGGTTTTTTTCGCCTTACTGCCTCCTTCCAAAGCTGAATCGGTCGATTTACTAGACTCGGCCCCAGCTTCACACATCACATTTTCTAGTGCTGTAATAGTAGAAATATCTTGGCCTAGGATCTCTAACTCAAACTGCCTACCTATATCATTTATACTAGAAAGAAACCCAAAAGAGTTGAGCGAGGCTGTTGGCATATTAATTGCCTGATCCTATACAACCCTATTTTTTTCTTTGCCTCTCCAAATCTGATAAATGCGTTTTTGTGATGTGCTATATTTATCTCTTAGATCGTTTAAAACTTTAAACCTTGGCTTTTCGTTATGGCATTGCATAATGAAATTATAATTGGCTGGTGAAAAGAAAGGAGCATCACATCTCATACATTGCCTAACCATGACATCAATGTTTTTTATATCTAATATATCTAATATAATCTTCCAAAATAATTTATTAAATAGAATATACAGGAAGAATGTAATATACAAGAAATTATTCCGGATAAATAGGATAAACAGGATATACAGGAAACAATCTATTCCGGATAAACAGGATAAATGGGATATACAGAAAGTATTTATTCCAAATATATAGAATATACAGGAAGAATATATTATTCTGAATATATAGATTGAATATATTATCTCAGAATTTTATTCACGCATTTTTTTCCCTGCTATATAACCATGTTAAGATTATGTCCAATGTGTATATGTTAAAAGATATAAAAGATAGAGGAGGTTCTAAAGGAGCCGGGCATCAGCTAGGTAGTGCATATGAGGAAGATGTCGAAAAAAAATTATATTCTGCTTTTAGATCCAAAGCCGAAATTAATGATCTTAGTGAAGGGTTGCTGACTAAAATTTCAGAGTATTCAGAGCGAGAGGAGGAGTTTCAGCGGATCAGTACTGATGTTAAAAATAAGATTAGCCGGTTAAATGCAGTTAATACTAGGCTTAGAACCCGACTTACTTCTAAACAGATATCCCATAATGAACTTGAAGCCAAATGTTCTGCCGAAATAAAATTGCTAAAATCTTCAATTAAATCATTGAAGGGAGAAGCGACCTTGGCCCAGAAAGCTTCATTCCTCGATAAGGTCAAGATTATTTCTCTTGAAGCTAAGATAGATGAATTGGAAGCTGAGTTGGAGAACCTAAAACAAGAATGGATAGATTCTCCACCACGTGCATCCCAGGATTCGAATATAGTGAGAGGGTTACTAGAGGAGCCACCCCAAATAAACTCATCTGAAATTGATTCTCTTAGGCTTGAATTGGGACAGGTAAAGGAGAATTTAAATTCAAAAAAACACGAAATAGAATGTATAGAAAAAGGGATAAAGGCAACAGATACTATATATAAACAGGAATTAGATAGATTGTCTTCTCTGCAATTAAATTTAATAGAGGAAAATTCTCACCTCCGAGGTTTAGTGTTAAAGAAAGATAATGAAGCGGTTCCAGAAGGATCAGCTGAGCATGTGCCTCCTATTACGAGCGATGCAAAAGAAAAAGAGAGTGAACAGGTTCTAAAAGAACCACAACTTTCCACTCTTAACCCTCCACCCTCTCAAATATTTTCTGTAGGTGGTGCGGAAGCCAAGTCTTTACTAGCAACTACTTCTACCATTGCGGGTTCCTTAATGATGCCAATGATAATATATTCCATACTTACCTTACTACTGATTGCAATTATATGGATTGTAGTTGGGAAAAAACTATGAAAAAAAAATAACCAATACATTCAGACTAGCGATTTACACCCTTGGGCCAGGATGTGTGATCGAAGGACAGGCCAAAAGAGGTCCACCCCATGACCAGATCGAACATAGGAATTGAAGTTAGCCGATATTATTGCATGAGAAAAAATATATAAATAATATTATAAGTTTTCTTAGCTGAAATTGCTACATCCCGCTAAGTGTACTTGGAAAGTTTATTGTAAGCCTTTTATATATTTTTTAAGCCATTTTTTTGCCTCATTCTGAGAATAGACATCAATCTGCTTCTCTTTTTCATCCGAATCTTTGAGTTGCATGATCTTATGCGAAATCAAAGGATATAAGGATCTTATATGTATAGCTGAGGGAAAACCACGCAATGTTGAAATTGGGTATCTCCAAAATATAAAACAACTGGAG